AAGTTTGGGCAAAACACTGAATACAGGCCAAAACCCAGAATAACTTCACAATATTATATATATATATCAGAGCAGGGTATATGCAGGAATCCTGAAGTCAAATGTAAGACCTTTTAAGACCTTTTTTAAGACCCTTTCCATACATTTTAAGACCTCATCGCAACTTGGAGTTCTATTTACTATATTGATTGTAAGATAGCACAACTAAACAGAGTGCAGACAGACTACTGAAGCCTCCTCTCCACATGAACTTCAACCTCTCTGTGAAGGTCAGGTTTAATGCAGTATTCTGCTTTGTTGCTTCTGTACTCTGTGCTCTTTCATTCCAGTAAAACTCCTCAGAAACCATTAGAAACCAGTATTTGACCAATAAACAAAACAATTGACAAAACTTTGAACTATGAAATATATTAAACTTTGGTGAGCTTCAGCGGGATAATACCATATAGGAGCAAATACCACACATAGCATCGTCACATAGGACGATGCTCTGACGTCATCACCCTCACACATTTGTCATATGTTTACAAAAAACGATATACATGTTAAGACTTTTCTCGTTCTTAATATAGACTATATTTAGGGTCGATATGTGTTGACCTTACTTTAAAATAGCAGATCTCTGTGACCGGATATAGTTTGGCTTAGACCCCGGCCCCACGAGGACGCATACAGTAAAACGCATACGCAAACGCAAAAAAGTCTTCCGTTCACACGATTGATTAACGTGTCCGTTCACACTAGACCGCTGGAAACGCTGTAGTACATATGCCAGGCCTGTAAGTGGCGCTGCTGCCGCTACAAAATACACCAAAAGCAGCGAAGAAGACCCCGGAGCATGGTTGTCATGGTTGCCCTTCTGTTTATTCTCCGCGGTGGACGGCGTGTTCTCCTGCTGTATATCTCTCAGGTAGTCCACCAGCAGATAACAACCCCCACCAGCAGATAACAACCCCCCCCCCCCCCCCACAGAGCGGAGCAAGGCAACGAAACTTAAAATAAGAAGCAGCATGTTATGGCACGCTATGCATGGGGCCACCTTGAGGGGGTTTCCCGACATGTTGTTTCAGTAAATTAAAGGGTGTTTCATGTTGTCGTTGCTGTGGACCTTCTTAATACCTTGGAAAATGCCGTTTAATACTTTTTAATAGCCTTAATTTTCGCTAAATTGATTTATCAACTTTTAATACTTTTTAAGACCCCCGCGGACACCCTGCAGAGGTCGCGTTAACCGAATATATTCCATCTATGACGGATTTTTTTTAACAATGACGGAAAAATCTGAAAGCAGTCCGTCATTTTGACGGATTAGAAAAAACTCAGAACAGCGCCAAAGTTTCCCCGCAGCAGGGCTCCGGTGTTATGTCTTGTTATGGATGGCCGCCAAAAAGGAAATGATATCGTTTCCAGACCTAACTTTGCCGTACAAATCATTAAATGTCTGGGAGTTTATGCTTTACGCTGTGGCGCGCTCCCGCGAGGTGCAGTGGGCATGCATAACACCGGCGCTAACAGTTCACGAGCGCCACCCCCCCCCCCGTCAGTTGTGTACAGACCGAGGGGTAATAATGGATTTTGACGGAAATGTTACGATCCTGTCCGTCAAAATGACGAGCAGCAAAAAAGTCTAGCGCAACCTCTGATATATATATATATATATATAGATATATATATATTAGGGCTGTCAAACGATTAACATTTTTAATCAGATAAATCACAGCTTAAAAATTAATTAATCAAAATTAATTAATCATGATTAATCACCATTCGAACTATGTCCAAAATATGCAATTTCTTTACGTATATTGTTGTGGGAATGGAAAGATAAATGAAAGAAGGCGGATATATCCATTTAACATACAGTATCTATGTTTATTATAACATTTTTCTGCGTGTTGTTAGAAATTAAAATCAATGTTTTGATGGCATAATGTACCTTAAATGTACTTTTAGTTTAAATGCTGTTTTATACTGAAAAACCAGAAGTTCTTGTGCACAACCAGTTAGACTTTTATTCTGAAAATCCTTCACCTCCGGTTAGCATTTAGCATGAGGCTAATATACCATTTCCTATAGAGGTGAATTTAGCAGCGATATGATATGATGTTGCACACCGAAACCTACTGATTTCAACACTACAACTATAGACGTCGAGATATTATTATTGTTGGATATTAAATGAAGGTACAGTTTATTTGAGTACGTTATCGTTTACAGATGTGGGTAGCATGTCACAACATTCGGAGCGACCGGAAATCGAATTGCTGTGAAGGATTTCCTGTATTTTTTGGAGTGTTGATTACAGCGTTTGGAATGTGTTGAATGGAAAGTCATGAAAGAGTTAAGAAGGAGAAAAGAAGTGTTTAGATATATATTGAATGTACAATGTCTGTATACTGTGATATGTGTAACAACGGACATTAAATAGTCGGAGAGCCGGCCCCCAGGGAGGAGCCAGGAGAGGCTATATAAACAACGAAACCTGAGGGGTTCGGCCTCTTTTTCTCTGCTAGCGAGGGCCAGAGACAGCTGCTTTTCTGTCGGACAATATCCTGTTTGTGACTGTACCACGCTTTTTATTAATTAAAGTACCAATTTGAAAACATCTCAGACTCCATTTAGTCTCCTTTTTAAGCTTCTCTTTCCTGGACACGAGAATAACCATCACAGTTAACAGTGTCAAAATGAAAGACAGCCCACACACCTATCACTCATCAAACCGTGGGGTCTTAATTCATTACGTGTTGATTTCTATCAACGGGGGAGTACTTCAGGAAAGTCGACAGGGGGGGGGGCTAGTGGAGTACTTCGTGACCACAGAGCGTGAACGTTGTGATCAGCTGTTTTAGCGCAGTTCTCCAGTGAAGGGGGGGGGGGGGGGGGGGAGTCTCCCTCCGCAGCCGGTTGGCGTAGTTTTGGCACAATTCCATTGTACAGACCGACATTAACAGCAGCCCTGTCTGTGCACACGGAGACCGACTCTGTCGTCCGGTGATCTAACCGCCTTCTGGAAAAGCTTCACAAGTACGTCGGTACGCAAATGCGCTTTGTGACACAAGTGACGGTACGCATTTCAGATTACGCACATAACCTGCGTACCAGTTATGTGCACCCCTGTACTACAGCAAAAGTATTCTCCGTCGGGACTTCCTGCAACAACACCACACCGTTATCTTGATTCTGATTGGCCAGAAGACATTATCAAAGATGTTCTATTGAGAAGACGATCACTACGTGACAAAAGTTTTCAAAACCGTTTCTGGTCTTCGGTATTTCCAGACAAGTGGCTACTGAAATCAATCTTACTAACTGCTGTCTGTGCAATTCTCGGCACGAGTTGGCGGACTTTATTTTGCTTACTTTAACATCATTTTTCAAGATGGGGCTAAGCCATTTCTTGGTATGGGTGTAGCCTACCCCAGCCATACCCTGGCGCTGCCACTGGTGGGATGTATGGGGCGGGCCATTCTGCACATGCGTTAAATGTGTTAAATATTTTAACGCAATTAATTAAAAAAATGAATTACCGCCGTTAACGCGATAATTTTGACAGCATTCATATATATATTAGGGCTGTCAAACGATTAACATTTTTAATCAGATTAATCACAGCTTAAAAATTAATTAATCATGATTAATCACCATTCGAACTATGTCCAAAATATGCCATTTATTTATGTATATTTTTGTGGGAATGGAAAGATAAATGAAAGAAGGCGGATATATCCATTTAACATACAGTATCTATGTTTATTATAACATTTTTCTGCGTGTCAAAATGAAAGACAACCCACACACCTATCAATCATCAAACCGTGGGGTCTTAAAACATTACGTGTTGATTTCTATCAACGGGAATACTTCAGGAAAGTCGACAGAGTGGGGGGGGGGGGCGGTGGCGGCTAGTGGAGTACTTCGTGACCACAGAGTATGCACGTTGTGATCAGCTGTTTTAGCGCAGACCTCCAGTGAAGGGGGGGGGGGGGGGGGGGAGTCTCCCTCCGCAGCCGGTTGGCGTAGTTTTGGCACAATTCCGTTGTACAGACCGACGTTAACAGCAGCCCTGTCTGTGCACACGGAGACCGACTCTGTCGTCCGGTGATCTAACCGCCTTCTGGAAAAGCTTCACAAGTACGTCGGTACGCAAATGCGCTTTGTGACACAAGTGACGGTACGCATTTCAGATTACGCACATAACCTGCGTACCAGTTATGTGCACCCCTGTACTACAGCAAAAGTATTCTCCGTCGGGACTTCCTGCAACAACACCACGCCGTTATCAAAGATGTTCTATTGAGAAGACGATCACTACGTGACAAAAGTTTTCAAAACCGTGGCTGCTGAAATCAATCTTACTAACTGCTGTCTGTGCAATTTACTCCGCGCGAGTTGGCAGTCTTTATTTTGCTTACTTTAACATCATTTTTCATGGTGGGGCTAAGCCATTTCTTGGTATGGGTGTAGCCTACCCCAGCCATACCCTGGCGCTGCCACTGGTGGCACGTATGGGGCGGGCCATTCTGCACATGCGTTAAATGCGTTAAATAATTACCGCCGTTAACGCGATAATTTTGACAGCACTAATATATATATATGCGTTCAAAGACCATTGGACAGTATTTTCTGTTTTCACACAGATGGACCTTTTGTATGGGCAGACAGCATGTGTTTCTTACCTTGCCTGGACAGCAGACTGTGTTTTAGCAAACAAATCTGACAACAAGCGTTGATCAGCTGATCCAAGGGATGGATTTCCGACATGATCACCCTCACACAGCAAAAAATTATTTTCTGATGGAGACAATTTCTCCTTAAATTCAAGTTGAGTTTGCAGAAACTATTACATGGGTGTCGTATTGTCATACTGATATTTTGTACAAACTGTAAAGTCCACTGAGACAAATGTAACATTTGTGATATTGGGCTATATAAATAAACATTGATTGAAATAAACATTGATTACATCAGTTCAAGTTTCAGAGACAGTGCGGAGGACCTACCAGACTCCCAGCAGGACGGCCTGCTCCTCAGCACTCAGGTCAGGCAGCTCATACTGATCCGGCTCTGCCAGGTTGATCTTATCCAGCACGGTCTCATCACCCAGATTGTAGTCCTGTGAGCACATGGAAACACACACAGTCAGCGGTGTACACACTGCAGCAAAGACCAATAACAACAACTTTTTAGATTTGGCATTAGATAATGTCAATGCAAGGTGGTGGTGGATGTGAAAAGAAACATAAATACACAGGAGGGGTTTGTTGATTTTAACAGCATTTTTGTTCTAGTATCAGTATACTGAGCATTTATCTGAATACATGATACATGTCTATTTCCCCTCTCTCTATGTATTATCCCCCAGGGAAAGATGCATTAACAGAACTAAAGAGAAAAACACCTGTATAATGGACTAGGTCATGTGTTTCATTGTGGACTGCACTTGTGCATCTTCTTCAACCTGAGCGTTTAAATCACATCCCAAAGAAAGACTGAATCTGTTCCTGCCATCTGCTCATGAGATCATTTTTTTTATTTTTTATAAATGAGCGAGTTACAGAGAATGGGGCGGGAATCTGCAAATGTAGTGCTGATGTATTGATGCATCCTTAATAATGACCGATTAATTTTTTGATTGTCACTTTAATGTTGTAGCTGGTAAAGGAGGAGCTTCATTTCGTACTACTGGGTGGCTTAACCCCACGATAATATATTGTATATTGATACAGCGGCTGGGATATGTCTGGGAGATTTCAGGCAGCTGGCTGGGAGGGGACATTCCAGGTGGCAGACAAAAGGTTCAAAGTGGTACAAACAGTATGAAAAACATCAAGGAAAAAGGAAGACAAGAGCTCATACCTTGGGCAGGCTGGCCTGAGGGGTCGGGGTGGCACTGGCCTCATCCTCCGCCTGGTCCTGCTTTCTCTTCACCTCAAGGATGAGCTGAGCCAAATACTTCTGCTGGAAGTGGGTCCTTTTGCCAAGAGCACCTTGATACCAGAAACGATTTGATACATTTAACAAATTGGGATCTTTAAGGTTTGATCAGAATGGGTTCAGGAGGATGGTTACCAGGTAACACAGGCTGCTCTTATGCATTCCACCCCCACCCGATGGTCCTGTGCTACATACCAGTCATGTTGATATTCAGCCCCGAGAGCTCCTGGGCCTTCTCGCTGTGTTCCTTGGCGCTCTGGTAGTTATAGTAGGTCAGATTGGTGTAGACACACTCCAGGTGGAAATGGATGGCCAGGTTTCTCTGCTCCGGACACAGAGAGAGGCTCTTCACCACTGGGAAGGACAGAGGATTCACAATAAGATCAATACTAAACTTCATTTTAGATCATCAAACATCACAATGTTTGGATGGTCAGCTAGTCTTCCCAGTTAAAATAAATAATTCTGATTGTTTGAAGTGAGAATCAATGTCAGCTTTTATTGGACCTCAATTCAAAACCTTTATTTATCCAGGTAAAATCCCATTGAGATCAATGATCTCTTTTTCAAGGGAGACCTGCAGCAGTAGGTTCCACAAGAAGACATAAAAACATAAACAACAGAACAACAAAAGGACATCATACAGCAAAATGTACAGGGATTACAATTTACATATTTAACCACATGTACAGGTACCAACAGCATCTGATTTTGTAGCATCCAACCGAGCTTTAAAAACATGTAGTGGTACTAGCTTGGTAATTTTCCATTCTTTTTGCAGACTGTTCCATGTTAGTGGAGCTGCACATCTAAAAGCTTTCTTCCCTAAGACAGTCCTAGCACTTGGCACATTTAATAAAACCACAGCATGCGATCTCAGGCAATAAGTACTTTCAATTCGCAGAGAGATCAGGGAGCAGATATAAGATGGTAGTTTATCCAACATGGCTTTGTAAATGAAAAAGTACCAGTGACTGAGCCTCCGTACAGTAAGTGATGGCATAACCGCCTTGGTATACAGGGTACAGTGATGCGTAAGTGCTTTACAATTTGTCAAAAATCTCAGTGCACTGTGATACGCAGCATCTAACTTGCTCAGGTAATTGGCAGGTGCATTCATATATAACAAATCACCATAATCCAGCACAGGTAAAAAGGTCACAGTGACTAGCCTTTTCCTGGCTTCAAGCGAGAAACAGGACTTATTTCTGTAAAAGAAACCTAGCCTAACCCTCAGCTTTTTAAGCAGGTTATTTACATGAAGTTTAAAAGTGAGACAGTCATCAAGCCAGATACCCAAGTATTTGTAACAGGTAACCACTTCAAGTTGTATTCCTTGCGTAGTTACAATATCCAAAGTAGTCTCTGGTGTATTTTTAGCTTTAGTTTTCGAAAAGTGCATTACCTTGGTTTTATCCACATTTAAAAGAAGCTTAAGCTCAGAGAGCTGAGCCTGAATAATGTTAAAAACAGCCTGTAATTTAACACCAGCCTCGTTAATCGAGGGACCTGCACAGTACATAACGGTATCGTCCGCATAAAAATGTAAGGTTGCTCCTTCGACATTTTCACCTAAACTATTGATGTAGATGGAGAATAATAGTGGACCTAAAACTGAACCTTGTGGTACACCATTAGTGATGTTTAACCACTCAGAAGACAGCCCATCAAACTGAACACATTGGGACCTTTCAGAGAGGTAGTTTACAAACCACCCTACTGCATGGCTGGACATGCCTATACTGACCAGCCTTTGCTTCAAAATGCGATGATCGACGGTATCAAAAGCTTTGGATAGGTCAACAAATAGAGCTGCACAACTCTGCTTATTATCTGAAATACTCGTAATATCATTTACCACTTTCATTGTGGCAGTGATGGTGCTATGTTGCTTTCTGAAACCTGACTGATGTTTAGACAGGATGTCATTGTTACATAAAAACACCTTTACCTGTTCACTCACTAGGCGTTCAAGAACCTTGGCCAGAACTGACAATTTAGAGATGGGTCTATAATTGTTTAATAAGGTGGCCTCCCCTCCTTTTAGTAGTGGCAGGACATAAGCTGACTTCCATACTTTTGGGATTTTGTTCGTGCTGAGGGAGAGGTTAAAAAGAGTAGTAAGAGGTGGAGCAATAAAATCTGCAGCTATCTTTAAAAAGAAAGGTTCTACGTTGTCCGGACCAGCCGGTTTTTTAGGATCTAGCTTGGTTAAGACTTCACGAACAACATCAACAGTAAAAGGAGTAAAACTGAAAGGGTTTTCCAGACCACATTGTTCTGAGTCACCGACTGTGGTGTTCAGAGAAGCAGAATTAGAAACAGAATGAAACAGAGAGCCACAGGACACAAAATGCTCATTAAAACAATTTAGTATGGTGGCCCTATCCAATATAGTGCCAGATACTGTGGTAAGGCACGGAGGTAGCTCATTACGGATATCACCGGTGGATATCGATTTTATGGCTTTCCAGAATTTTCTAGGGTTGCTCAGGTTTTTTGTGGTAACTGACAGATAATACTTAGATTTAGCACTTTTGACATTTGAAGTGAAGCTATTTCTTAGCTGCCTAAAATGCAGCCATTCTACCTCTGAGCCTGAATTCCTAGCCTTTGCCCAGGCCTTGTTTCTCTCATGTAGGAGAATAGATAATTCAGCAGAAAACCAAGGATTGTCTCGTCCCTTCACTCTAAATTTACGCAGGGGTGCATGTCTATCTATAATTTCCATAAAACCAAGATAAAAATAAGACCATGCAGTCTCAACATCAGCACACAAATCGATTTTTCCCCAATCAAACCCAAACAGATCATGTACAAAACCCTGTTCCACAAAATGTTTTATGTCTCTCTTGATGATAATACGAGGTTTAACCTTTTGGACCTTAGTGTCCCTAATTGTGGCTACAACACAGTGGTCACTCAGATCATTCGCAAATACTCCCACAGCTGAGTATTTATAGGGAACATTAGTTAAAATGAGATCAATTAGGGAGGATTTATTTGGGGACTTAATATTAGGGCGAGTAGGACTGTCAACAATCTGAGTAACATTTAAAGAGATACAAAGGTTTTTAAAATCCTCTGACACTGCAGTTAACCAGTCCCAGTTAAAATCTCCAAGTAGCACTATTTCCTTGTAGTCTAGTTGCGATAAAAGATTTGCTAGCGAAGACAAGGAGTCTTTGACAGCTGAGGGGAGTCTGTAACAGCCCACCACCATGACCTGTTGACCCTTTGCCACTTCTATATTTAAGGCTAAAAATTCAAATTGCTTACTGATAGATTTGGAAACTACAGCGGTTACACTGAACTTATTCTTAACATAAATGGCAACGCCACCACCTTTATTAGGCCGGTCGGTACGATACACATTAAAACCATTTAAGGCAATGTCAGAGGCCAAAATAGATTTGTTTAGCCATGTTTCTGATAAAACAATGACGTCAGCGTCAGTCGAGCTCGCCCAGATACGGACAAAATCTAGTTTACCTAACAGACTGCGCACATTCAAGTTGATGAAACCCAATCCAGACCTAGCTTTAAAATCAGCAGGAGTAGCGATCTGACTACTACTACTGGGCGGACCAGGGTTAGGACCTGTTTAAGTACTGTGTTCAAGACCACTGTCAACGGTTAGAGTGATGTGTCTATGTCTGAAAAATACAGACTGTAAAGTAATTATAAATCTACCCCTACAGATTCTAATGTGGTCAGCACAATCTGAAGACCTTTGTGATGAATGGTTGTTAAATGCTTGTGTAAGCCGTGGAACGCATGTGCTGGCAAAAGAGTACCCTTTTCCAAAAGGTTGGACATTGTCGAATCTGCTCCAGATTTCACAGAGAACAAGAGTAACAGCCTAATGACATCTTGTTGTCTATACTGACTCAAAGCAAATGTTGGGATTTTTGAAAAACAAACTTGATGAAAATGTGTCAAAAAGCTTTTGGTGACCAATGCATTGCCGAGGCTAGGGAAGCTTGAAAACAACAAAAAGGTGAACACTTAGTTTAATTTTCTTTTTCTATTTCCTTCCCTTTCTAGGCTCTGTAGTTAAGCAAAATCTTCCTAAAGATGTAATCCGACTGACTTCAATATTTGGTCAGAATGATCCAAAGGGCGTGGCAATGTAACCAGTAAAAAGCGTGGTGGCAAAAATGCATTTCTTTAACATTAAAATAAAAGTAAATTGAGCATTCATCATCCAATCTGCCCCAAACTTCATTTCATAGGGGGTCCAGCCCAGAGGGTAATCCACATAACATATTGACTCAAACGTATAGTGCCCCCTATTGGCAACAGCAGGGTACCCTGGTCTGGCAAACATTGAGGTATGGTCGCTAGACTTAGTTTACAGGAATGTACAATCAGCGTGGACACAGGAAGTGGCATTCAAGTCTTTCGTGCCATGTTCAATAATCATGAAAATTGAGAGCCAAGTCAAAGAGCCTCTGGTGACTCCTCACTGCTTGCATATTAAATGAGTCTTGTTTTTTATCACTTGGTTGCACAGAACATCACCAGGACGGAGCTGCCATCCATGGAGGACCTTTACTCCCAGCGGCTCAGGAAGAAATCCCTCAGGATTACAAAAGACCCCCATCACCCCAGCCACAAACTGTTCAGTCTGCTGCCATCTGGCAGGCGTTACCGCAGCATCCGGACTAAAACCACCAGACTCAGAGACAGTTTCATCTAGGGATGTGTATCGTTAAGGTTTTATCGGTACTACTACTTTTTAACGGTACTTTTATCGGTTCTTTTGGAGAGAAAAAAAGGTAAACTAACTAAACAAATTGTGAACAAAACTAAGATTGCTTTTTATTTAAATAAAATAAATAATATTTCACATCAAAAGAAACAACAACGTTTTAACAAATCGTACTAAATAATCTGATGAGAAAACTGTAAACAGAATAGCTGAAACTTTAACAAAATAAATACCTCCGTTACCTCTAATCATTAACCCATGTTTGTATAATGTAGTTAACTCCGTGTGTTGCTGCTAGCATACATAACACCTGACATGGAAACGTTACTCGTGGATGGAGCTACAGAGCTGCTAGAAAGACGGTCGAACCCGGTGCATTCCTCCGTCTGGATGTGGTGCACTTTTGCTAAATGTTTAGACAAACTGCTCTTGTTACCGCCCTTACATGTTAAACTCTTATTGCACTTTAGGCAACGAGCATCGAGAAGGGTAAAGTTTAACCACACCTCGGAGCGCGTTCTCTCCGCCATCTCCTCCGTGTGTGTGTGTTGCTGCATGTAGCAGCTGCGTGTGTGTAAACTGCCCCGCCCCCTCGCAAGCAGGCGGGGGAGAGAGATCGAAAATACTAAAAATAAGCATA